AATTTTAGCGAAAAAATCCGGAAAAAGCGACATTCTTTTCTTTCCAACCTAACAAAATAAAAAATAAAAAAATTTTTTTTTAAAAAGTCTCGTCAAAATCAATTTGGCTAATGTCTGCACTTACCGCTCCCGTCTGCCGGTCAGCTACCATCTTAACCGTAGATGGGGTGTGACCGAGCTCCTAGAAAATACTCCTCATTTACAAAAAATTCAGAAGAATATACTGACTTTGAAGGCACTGGTGATGAACTGAGCATCCCACTGCGGTTGAAGATCGCCCATCCACAAAGTCCGATGCGAGTCTAGGGTGGTATGGGATTGTACACGAGGAAAATCCGCATGTCGACTATCCGAATCCTCTTCAGGTTCAGTGTTGCTTGTTTCCGTCATTTACAAGCTAAATCTGACATAAGGCCTAAATAAATAAGGAAAATCAGGATAAAGGTATTAGGCGATACACGCTGACAAATGAAACTACAACATGAGGTAACTTTTATTGATCCAAGTTCTGAGATGGAATGAAAAAGTTTTGCAACATTCAACTTCCACAACATGAATGGAGAGAAATCACAACACAGATGTTGACACTGTACATTTGTTGTCCTGCTCCATAATTCCATCACAAACAGAAATAGGAGACCTGAAAACTTGAGAGTCAGGTTGCTCCATAAATAACGCTAAATTTAAAAAACATTTTTAGGTAGGAAAAAAGTTGTTTTTTATGGCAAAATCAAGAATACGTATGATGATACTCGCGAGCGCTCTACAAGGCAGTTTTTGAAAATTAACAGAATTCTACAAATTCAAAAATTGAATGTTTGCCCCAAAACTTCCTAAAAATCTCTTACTTACTTGTGCATGTAACAGACACATGCACGAGTCCATATACAAATTTGATATGATTTTTTCTTGGTTGGAAATCAAGAAAAAAGAGAAAAAACGAAAACGGTAAACTCCGCCTCCTAGCTATCTAGCAAGGATACTTAGTGACCGTGGCCATTCATAATAATTTGTATACCAAAGGAAGCGCTTTCGAATGCCGGTTTGTGAACTGTCTTTCATAGTGCGAAACGATAACCTGGAGTTATATTTTTTTCCAGGGATAGATTAAAAATAATGCGGATGTCATGACCATCAATAAATTGTCCCTTTTCAACTGCTATATATAATTCAGATAGTCTAGATATATAGTACTCCGTCAATTTCCTTTAATAGCATCAAACGCTAGCCTAGATAAATCTAGTGATTTTTACCATCCAAAAAAAACAAATTTTTTAAGAGAAAAGTTCATAACTCCTTTTAGAAGATCGTTTAGCAAAATTCGAATATAGATTCAATATCAGCATTTCGAAATGCATCTTAAGGTATACGCATTTCAAGAGACCACGGCCACCAAGTATCCCTTCCTAGTAAAGGCCACTGCATGACAAAGGCGCTCCTGCTCCTGCTCCTGCTTAGTTCGGCGGTCGCGAAAGCGACGCGCGCGTATCTTCA